AGTGAGTGATGAGTGAGTGATGGGTGAGTGAGTGATGAGTGAGTGATGGGTGAGTGAGTGATGAGTGAGTGAGTGCCATAAACCAAAGGTTTACTTTGATTTTATATTGTAATTGGATGTGGTGTATTTTCCAAGGAAAGTCAGTGTAAGACAATTAACATTATGGGGTGTTTATAAGTACCTTAAACAGACACTGGGCAAGAAACATTGTACAGGGCACAGCTGTGCAGTGTGATTTAGAAAAACCGTTGTAACACGTATCTTTCACGTTAGCTTTCAACGATTTTACGCAGAGGAAATGCCACTTTTCTGACATTACAGATGATAAATGAATCATCTGTCCACTCAGGTGTGACCGACCAAGACAGCCATGACCGGGTCACTGTCCAAAGTCCCCCACTCGATGGGCTTCTCAGGGGGCTCGCAGCCCGCGGCCTTGGTGAACAGCAGCTGTTCAACAAACCCCCCCCCCCACCTCGATTAATGAACAAGAAACGCAAAAACGGCACCAAGCCGACTGCAAGCATTACATGATGTCACCTGTGTCAGTGGGAGCCCGTCTTCACTTTGCGACTCACTGTTGCCCCCTGCTGCTTCTGCAGGGGCTCTGCTCGGACCAGGGTTGCTGCTGGGGTGCTGTTCTAGTGGTGGGGAGGTCGATCTCACAGCCGCTTTCGGAGCAGCAGGCAAGGGTTTAGCTTTGGGTGCCACCAAAGTTTTCTGTATCAAAGAACAATTGAAAAGGATGATTCACAATGGAATATATATCAAAACAAGACAAGAGTTTTCAATTTATAATAAAAATTATTTTTTGATAAAAGCATCCTGGTGCGAATGGCATGATAAAGCCATAGATGCATGATTAGTTGCTTGTTCCATCAGGAAAAGCACACAGTTGTTTCACTGGAGCAACAGTGCCCCCGGTGGATGGAGTCTGCTTGGCAGGTTTGTAAAGCACGGATATCGATTATACCAAAAGACAAAAGGAGGGAAATGCAGTATGAGACACAGATTTTGGATTGGACCTGCAGAAGGTACAGTTGAAAGGAAATAGAAATTAATGTTTACAGACCCCAAAGCAATTTCATATAATGCAAGACATGAGGCCGAATTCAGGTGGTGGTTGAGGAGCTGGACTTGTATTAAGTAGCAGTCATAAGTTTAGACACGCCAAGCCGCCTACAGAGGAGAGTGATAGCATGTCGCATCACATGACCTGGCCACCTGACCCAAACTTTTGACTGGTACCGTATAAAATTTCAACACCATCAGGATATGTCTTTCAAATATTTCTTCCGGAAAGTAGTAATTTACCAAAATGTCATCTCGTCCAGCCTACGTCAAAACATGACGAGTCTTCATGAATTTGTGTCTAAAATCCAGTCTGAGGCTCAGTGATAATTGGGTAGCAGACTGAGGACAGCAGTCGGGTGAGACTAACCTGGACAGCTGCATCCTCCCTCGCATCAGCGTTGCCACGGTCACTGTCTGAAGTCTCCCCTATGCCAGTCACTTCTGGGGTCGCTGAAGGCTGGCTAATGTATACCTATTCCCCAAACAAAAAAAAAAAACAAACAAATAAAAACAGGCTTGAGCATCTCAGTTTCAGAATCAATTATCTGATGACAAAACATCTGGTTCATTTTAAAATTTAAAAGTCCTTTTCAGCTAAAGCAAAACAGTTGTTTCAATACAAATCGGAAATACAAGCTTCTAAATGGAGGCTAATCTTTAGGCAGATTCACAATGAAAGCTAAATGATTACAGTTTGATTTAGGGTGGCATTGCCAAAATGGTCTGAAGACGTACAGATATTAAATTATTGTGTCGTTCCAGTGATATCTATAAATGACATCACACTGCTACAGCAACATGACAGCTAATGAGCGGTGAGATGATCCCTGCTCCAGTAACACAGATGACTGGACTGCGTTGGCGGGATGACATCGTTGTGCTCTGATTGGCTGTCACCGTCTGAGCTCTTTCCTCTCTTGAAGGGGGCCACATGTATGGCAGAGGTGATGCTAGCTTTCGCTGGCGCTGCAGTAATTACAGCGTCGATCTCGCCGGGAGCTGGAGATACCAATTTAGCTTTGGATCTCGCTAGGGATTTCTGCGCCACGGGAGGGAATGTCACTAAAAGCGCTGGCACATACCAGGCCTGATGACCGGTTAGCGGTACCCCGCCGCCTTGGTATTTAGTAACGCAAGACACAAAAGGACCTCCATGGATTTGTAAACACAAATGGCTGCGAGAGGGAATTGTATGAGAGCACTAACTGACATCACCATTACAAGTCTGACAACAAAAATTAGCCAATATGTTTGCAGACACTGCAGGGGACGATTGAAGAGATTCAGCGGCAGGAAGGCAAAGACACACTCAAGGATAACAAAAAGCCCACCTGCAGCGTAGCCGGGCCTTCGCTCGCCGATCCGGCGCTGCTCCCGGCATCCGAGGTCCTGGCCCCCCCCTCTGCAGGGGGCCAGGCTGTAGCTTCAGGCAGGAGGGGGGTACAGAGGCTGTCCTTCACGGGGACAGCAGGGTTCATCTTGGTGATCGGCCGTCTGGCAGGGGTGCCTCTGGGGGTGTTTGCTGGTTCCTGCATCGCAGACAAAAACGTGAGAGTGAAACATAAAGAATACTTCACACTTTCTGCAGACAAAACAGGTCAGTTTGAACGGATGGAGTCACCCTTCTGTAATACAATTAAACAAATATATACATATATATACCTTATGATGAGAAAACCACAATAATTTGGGAATCAGTTCGGATACCAGCTCATATTGAAATGACAAATGTGTTCAAATGTGATAATTCTAATACTCTAAAATTCCATCCATCCATCGCTTATCCTGGTCAGGGCTGTACGGCATGATGGTCCTACCAATAATATAATTCAAAGTCTGACCCAACAAATGAAACTGCATGTTCCCAGTAAATCCTCCACCTTCAAAATGCAGGAGTTTCCAAAGAAATGAGCAGATGGAGGAGGCTGCGGAGCTGTTTATATTCAGTCCAATTTATAAACAAACAAAAAAAAACAACAAAAATAGACATTAATTTCCATGAAAATCGCTTCGCAGATCAGACATGCGACGCCCTCACAGTCGCAGGCGGCTAATGAATTAGGGATCTTTCTGGTGAATCACGATGACACACCATAGCGGCTCACCTGCAGGCCAGCTTCAGCTGCGCTGCTCCCCGTCTGCGAGCTCTCGGCCTCCCTCTCTACAGCGGGAGTCCTGGTCACAGCTCCGGCCAGGCCGGCCGTCACCGAAGTCACGACTGCTATCTAAACGGGATCATGCAATAAAAACTGGATGCTGGAGAATGGATTAGCAGTGTTAGGCACACTGATGATCGTTTCCACTTTTTGCACGACTGGATCACAAGTTCACAGCTGAGGCACATTACTGTTTACACCTGTGTCTGTCGTGTGTTTCCAAGGTGTTAAGTCGATCACTCGTGTTCAGATTTTGTTACTTCCGTAAGGTCAAATGGACCCGTGGACAGTTATTGTGACGTCCTTGTGGACGACGCATCAGAACACCTTAACGATTACTCTACAAAAGATTCATGGTGAAATGTGTCCCGGACCACCTCAGCTAGTGCTCTGCGTGATCAGGTCACAATGTGCCTTGGTGGTCGTTTACACTTGTGTTTGGCGCCGTCCGCTTGTGATCTGATTGCCGAAGAAGCATTCTAAAACCAAGTGTAAATATGGCCTTAACAACTCCATCTGCTTTATTGCCAGGTCAGGACACCACGCCAAAAAAAAAAACACTACAACAATTATCACTATGGCTACAACTTATGAACATGGAGTTTAAGAATTATTGTTTTTGACACGTTTTTTTGGTGACTATGCTTTTCTTCTAGGGCAGCGGTTCTCAAACTAAGGTACCCTCTGGTGGTACCTGAAGGTTTCAGTGCACCTATGCCACACTGAAAATGGTGGTACGCCATATACTCAACTTTGTGATAATTCTACATTAATTTGGGGATTAAATGTATAGTTGCGATTATGAATTTTAACTATAGTTGCAATTAATCGTGATTAATCACAGAAAACTATGCAGTTAATTAGTTACTTTTTAAAATCGATTCATAACCCTAGTAATAGCAGCAGCGTATAATGGATGCTTCACATGAAATTGAGACCTAGGTATGTTTACTAAACCTTGTTTATTGCATCAACCGTCAAAACATACACAGCCACTTCAGACACTACTAAACCTGAGTTGGTGGAAGCCCATCTTCACTATCCGATTCACTGGTGCTTTCTGCTGCTTCCGGACCGGTGGTGCTGCTGATGGGCTTGGCTGTTGCTGCGGCCGTCGACGTTTCAGCCTTGCTCGGACCGGCAGACTTGGGTTTGGCCTGGGCTGTCAGACTAGATTTCTGTATTCCAGAGAGGGTCCATCGGTGCATGCCGAGTTACCACGAAGGAGGGTAGAGGTAGCGTTCAGTGCATACGGTCAACGGACCCGGTGATGCGAACACGGGCAGACCAGCAGATAACAATGATTATATCCACAGCTGTGAGCTCAGTCATGAGGGGACGATCTGAGGCTACACCGTTACTGCTTATCAGCTTTACTATCAAGTCAAATATTACCAAGTGCATCATTACTCTCATACCATCTATGTACAATCTACAGCTTACAGTGGCACAAAACAACGTTCCCCAGGGCCGCGGTGCAGGATATATACATAAAGTGCAGAGACTGTAAGCAGGACAGGTGCAACACATGAGGGAGGGGGAAGAGGAGAATAATAGCTAATAGATAAAAATAGAGAATGTATACACTGACATACAGGAGAGCTAGGGGTACCCACACAGCACAACAGATATGGTGGCTGCTGTAGAAGTAATAAACAGATATGGCGCAGATGTAGGAACAGTGCTGGGCAGTGTCCACTGGATAAAGTGACCAGTGCTGGTGGGGAGCCAGGTTTATAATGGGCCGAGAAAGCGTTCACGGTCATGTTCGCTCATGGTCACTCTAGGAAGATTTTCTATGTTAAATCGCACTTCTATGCCTTCACTGCCTGACACATCGCCGCTGTCGGTCCCTGCGCTCTCGGCCTTCACTGCCTGACACATCG